TATAAGTCAGACAATTTACACACCTTACCCCATGTATAAAAGAGATATGGAAACTATGAATAGAGAAATTATTAAAAGCAAGTTCTTTGTGAATATCTTTCTTTACAATATTATTTATTCTTTTAAATCATTCCTTCACTATTTCATTTTTAAGTTATTTTTCACTGAAAATTCCAAGGAGACAATTTGATCAGTTCCAGAAAGCTTTCAAACCTATATTGTCCTGGTGTAATTTCTTTAGGGACCAGAATTCTCTGTTTTGTTTTAATATTGATTTATGTGTTAATTTTTTTCTGCCATAGAACATCAGTAGATTTGTTTTTCAAGAGTTTATCTATCTAAGTTATATTAAATTTTATCTACTCTTCATTGTTGAAGTTCCAGAAAGTATATTTAACGGGGCCGGGGATTTAGCTCAGTGGTTCTGCACCTGCCTCGCAAGCACAAGGACCCAAGTTCAATCCTCGGTACCAAAAAAAAGAAAGTATATTTAACATCCACTTAAGTCATTAATAATAATGTTATTATTTTCCAACTAATCACTATCCCCTGAGCCCATGTTCATAACAGTATATTAACTCTGCATCAATGTTCATCTGATATGTGTATTTCACTCAGGGTAATTTTCTAGATTGAGGATAAATCTAACCAATATGGGACATACGTTTTGAATGTCATTTTTAAGGTTCAATTTTTAAATGTGATAAATGTTAAAAGATTGAACTGAGGGATTATATTTAATTTTTAGGTAGTTCACTCCACTAGGGTAGTAGATTAAGGGGAAAGAAAATGGATGAGCATTTGAATTGCTTTTTTTCTTAAGTTCCCAAAAGTCTTAAGACATGGGAATCATGACAGAGCCAGAAATACATGCAGAACAAAGATGAGTCCGCAGAAAGAAATCGATGGCGGTGGAACCAAAGAGTTGTCATGTGGAATGTGTTTGCAGCAGGAGAGGCAGCATAATATTGTGATAAGGGGAAAACAGAACAACTTGTGTAAATCAAAGAGGAACTCAGATACCTACCATCTGCCTGCCTGTATGGAATGTGATGTCACTTTATCAATATGGAACATTACCATAATAAACTTAGCATTGACATATGAGTGTGCCTTCTCAGGGGACCCATTTTATTAATAAGACTTCAATTTAAACCCAATGAAAGTTGAGTTCCAATAATAAATCATAGTTAAATATCTTAAGGAATGAACAAATAATTTATATTTTATAGCATTAATGGGAGTCTATAACAATTATGCATTCAAATGTCTTATTTAAATTCTTCACAATTTGTTTCTTTTCCACCTCGCTTCGCCCTTTTAGCTGTAATTTGGCACAGGCAGAAAACAATGAAAATACAAATTACTAGAATCTTTCTTAGAGACAGTCTAAGTGCTGTGAACATTACCCAATGACTTTTTTAAACTAAAGATTAAGAAAAATATTACAAATACAAAGGCTAGTCCTATTCTGTTTGTTATCTTTCCAGAGTAAAAATGGGAAATGTGAGGATTCTATAGTGAATACATGCAAGTTAAGACTGAATGGAGCCTTTATCTTTCACTTTCTCCAGGCTTTATTTTCATCTCTGATGCACATAATAACTCTATTAACCCAGAAGAATGTCTTGTAGTTTTTATTTTTCTCCAGGCACTCTCAATTAGCAAGTGACACAAGTAAAAGTGTTGTCAGATGATATGAAAGATAGACAAGATCCAAGATGGGCACAAATTGAACAATTAAATTCTCTGCCACTGATGTTATCAGCTGCAGCTGTCATGCTGCTGTACTTCACTGGAAACAGCCATCTAAAGGGTGATTCCTTCCCATTTGAGGAAACTCAAGACTTAGTCTCACAGTGACAAATGGTTACTGAGTAACTGAAGAACAGTCTCTTTCTAGTTTACAAGGTAAACCCTGAAAAGATTATTCAATTCTTCATGGGAAGACTTAAATAAAATCAATGTACTTTAGAAAATGACTCAATGACAAAAGGAATAGGCATGACTCAGGTTAACTGTAACCTGTGTACTTAACCTGTTTGCTTTCTCTTATAGTAAAGAGAGAGACAGATGCACAAATGTAGTAACTATAGAAAACTATGGCTCAAGAAAGAAAGGTCACTGTTTGCTCCAGGGATGTAATGTTTTTTCAAGAACAAAGGAAATTACATTTCTGTGGGGCTAATTAGGATTTTAATCTGGGGAGACACAGATTCAACCAATGTTGAAAAGTTGCTCCTTACAACAATTTTGCTATTGAATCAGAATTACAAATATATGTGAGTTGTACATATCACACATAAAAATCACAATATTAACTAATTTCATCTTCAATGTTGGACTTATTTATAAGAAATATGGGCTCCTTCAGGCCTTGAACCTGGTGATTTAATATTTTAACTATATTCAACATCTGTTAAAGTCATATTTTAATGAAGAAACAATTAAAAAGCACCTTTAGATCTTAAACTGTAGAAAACCATAGGGAGAGGGAAACTCAGCCTGATTTAAATATTTACATTGATTGACATATTTATCTTCTCACAGATGCCAAACATAGCTATTTTAAAAAATCTCTCTTTTTTAAAAATTCTTAATATTTCTGCTTTGGTAGGTAAGTGAGAATGAGAGAGGAGGAGAGACTTCAGTTTCTTTACTTCTCTGATTTCATTTAACAGATTTCTGTTTCGATACTTAAAGGCTTTTACATTTAGTAAGAGGTTTCATACAGAGAGAAAAATACACTGATTTTTCCTGAGAGGTCATTAATTGCTTTGTACAATGATAGGGCTTAATTATATCTTCTCTTAGTCTCTTACATGACAAAACTTTATGATTAAAACACAGAATAGAAAATCATCCGTAATGACTTAAGAGGGACACTTGTTGATATCAATACTAAAACTTTCCTGAAGAGAATAAAAAGGGAGAAAGAGGCTGAAATTGGTATGAATGAGAGATGGGGGAATAGCTGAGGGAGGCATTGCCAGTGAATTCTTTCTTACAACTGACCTGGTGGAACATAAATATTTTTCAAAGAATTGCAAAGCTGATGATGCTTGAATAATGTGTTACATCCTTTCACTTTACAGATGAGAAAGCTGTGACTTAGGGGAGATAAGTGGGTTAAACCATTTTCATTTTCATTAGCACATTTGCTTGCTCACTTAAAAATCATTTAGAGCTGACCACTACTGCACGAGACAATGTATTAAGCACCAAAGGACAATACAAATATGTCATTCTCTCTGACTCAACAAAATATTCCATGTTCTTAGAAGGAAAAAAAACAAATTTAAGCACAAAATAACTCTATTGAAAATACTATTGTAAATTTAAGTATGTAAACAAAGAAGAATTAATCATAACTAAATTAAATACAACGTTCTTTATTTGAAAAAAATACATTAACACAAAGGATACAATACTGTAAGTGCATGGATTTTAGAGAGCATATAGTAGTTTAAAAGGTTTCAAACAGGAGCAGGTTCAGATGACTGCCCAAGGGATTTCTACTAAACAATTAAGATGATAAATACTAATTCTATAAAAACTCTTTCAGAAAAAAAGGGAAGAAGGCATAATTCTCAATTGATTTGTTGAAGTCAGCATTAATTTGGTATCAAACCCAGACAAATCGATGTGAAAAAAAAGAATTGCAGATCAATACATTTTATGAACATATACACAAAAAATCCTTAAAAGTATTAACAAATCAAATCCTATAGTATTTATTTATTTTGAGTTTCTTTTTTTCACTTAAATTATTTTATTGGTACATTTTAGGTATACAATAAATTGCATTTCTCATTGGGAACTTGTACCTTTATATGATGCATCTTGGTTCTTATTTTTTCCCCATTCCCTGCCCTCCTGTCACCCCCTCCACACTCCCCTATTTACATAGACTTTGTTTCCATTTTTTCCTTTTCTCATAATATTTTTTTCCCTTCTTTCCTTTCCCCTTTCCATCCCACTTCCCCTACACCTTTGGATCTTTCTTCCTATTTCAAATTATCAATTATTCATTTTAATCATTTTAAACCTTATTTACACTTTCCGTTTCTCACACCAGAGAAACAATTCAGTATTTACACGTTTGTCCTATTTATTTCACTTAAGAGTATGACCCCAATATGCATCCATTTAGCTATAAATGTCTCTAGTTTCTTGTTCTTTATGGCTGAGGAGTACTCTATTTTATAAAAAAAACCCACATCTTCTTTATCCAGTTTCCATTTGATGGGCACTTGGGTTGCTTCCAAGCTTTAGCTATTACAAACTGTCCCACTATAAACATGGGTGCACATATATTGCTGTGGTAAGATTCTTTTAATTCTTTTGGGAACATACCGAGCAGGGGGATAGCTGGGTTAAATGGGAACCCTATTCCCAGTTCTTTGAGGTACCTCCATACTGATTTCCACGGTAGTTGCACCAGTCTACACTCCCACCAACAATGGAGAAGGGTTTCTTTCTCTCCACACCTCGCCAGCATTTGTTATTAGTTGATTTCTTGATGGCAGCCATTCTTTCTGGGGTGAGGTGAAATGTCAGTGTTATTTTCATCTGTATCTCTCAAATGACCAGTGATGTTGAACATTTTTCCTATGTTTATTTGTTGATTTTACTTCTTTATCTGAGAAATGTCTGTTCATTTCAGATACCCATTTTTTTTTATGAATGGTAGTAAAATAAACATTTTATTATATAACAGAAGTAAAGTTTTCAAAAATTTACATCACAAAACTAAAAGCCATTCTGGGCACAATGAAAAAATTTTGAAATTGCAACTACCTTGCACTTTTCAGGAATCTGATTGGAAACAAATGGGTAAACATGCTGCCTATAGACAGAGTCAAACCACCATGACTACTATAGCAGCTGAACAAAGTGTGAGATATGGAACTTGAACTGATGCCCAGATGAGAGAAGAAAGGAGCTCACAATCAGGATGCTCAAAATCAGGCTGGAATCCATCTATGATCCAGTTCCAGTCAATCTGACAAGTCACTCTGATCCAGCACGATTATCCTTGATGGTTCAGACCAACCCAGTCGCTTCCAAAAACAAGTTTTTAGTTCATCTCCATCACAAGTCCCTAAAAAGTTCTCTGATTTCCTTATCTCTGGCTTGATGCTTTCTTTCCTTTTGATCTTCTTTTCACCAAAGTCTTGATCTTTGGTTTCTGTGTCCCTTCTAAAGACTTTGCAGGGGTCCTGTAGCTCTATGTTCTTCTCTTCAGGTGGCTGTAGCCATCTTTCCAAGTCTTCATCCAGAGTAGAGTGAGCTCTTTCTGTGTCCTCTCCTAGATTCTGCAATTCTCTGGTCCAAAGTAAACTGCTGTCTTCTTTATCACTGCCTGTTTCTTGTTCTTCCAAATGCTTTGGATCAATTTCTTCAAGCAGCTCCTGAGATGGTGGCGGTAGCTCCTCAGTTTGCTGTTGTGAGATGGCTTCCACTAATTCTAGGCCGAGTGGAGTTCTGACACTAGTAGGTGTGTGGCTTACTTTGGGTGTTTCACATGAAGTTTCCTTAAAAAAGCCATCTGGTTCATAGGAGATACTAGACAGATTTTGAATGTCTATCAATGATATGTCTTTTTCTTTCAGTTCCTTTGGTGGCTCCTTTAGTGTTTCTTGTTCACATTCAGTACTTCGCAAAGATTGGAACCTGGTGAACATCTCAGTGTTCTTTCCAAGAATTTTTTTCATTTGGAACTTTTCCTCACCATAGCCTTGCAGTTGGGCAAATGCACCTTCTATTCCTTCAATGTTCTCTTGTATAGGACTTGACGTCTCTAGAGGTAAGTTTTCTTGAGCAGCTGAGGAATAAAAATATTCATAATCTGGAGTTAAAAATTCATCTGTTCTTTCCTCATAAGATTCTGGTGAACATGATGATGGTGTGTCCTGATCATTGTAAGATTTCTCAATGGTCACAGGCAGGTCAGAACATGCTTGAAAGCCTTCACTAGGCTCTGGCTGCTTATTTTTCCTGGGTGAAAGATGCCTGATACTTGTGAAGCTCTGCGGCCCAGGCTGCCTGCCATGTTTCTCACTGTCATGGTCACAGCTGTCCATTTTCCCCATTTGACATCATTTCCTCTTGTCTTTTCCTTCTCTCTGTGAAACTCCACACCTCGCTGACAGTCCAAATTTTTAGGGCCCCTAGCAGGGGGCTGCAACAAGGACATGGACCCATGTATAGCCTCACTCTTCAAAGTTGAACTGCTCTGAGGATGCCAAGGAAGGACCGGGAGCTCTCCACTAGCTGCCTTCTCAGCCATTTCTTTCATATCCATTTTCCATTTTAAGTGGATCTTTCCATCATCTTTGTTTTCTGACTTCACATTAGAGATTACAGAAGACATAGATTCCACATTGATCCTACTATCTTGGTTCTTCTTCCTTTCCAAATAGTCCTTGGCTCCTTGAGTGGCCTGAAATGGTTCACCTGTGTCCTGTTTTCCAGGATCACAAAGAGTTGACAGCTGATGATGTCTCTCTGGCTGGTCCTCAATGTTTTCTTCAGAGACTTGGGTGAAAGGTTTCCAGCCACTGCTACTTTGTCTCTTGGGATTTTTGCCAAAATGTCCCCCTTGAAATTCTTTCACTGTTCTTGCAGACCTTGGCAGGGTTGGGCAACTGCCATTAGTATCTGGCTGGGGGCCCCCTGACACCTGTGTAACAGGATGAATGTAATTTAAACTTGGAGGACTCACTGCTCTAGGTAAGTCACAGACATCTGGAAATAATCTTGAAGCAGTCCACAAAGATATGTACTTCTTCTGTATCAACTCAACCTCATCTAATTTCTGCTCAATGTTCCCCACCAAATCTGTAATCTCATGAGCCATTGTCTGGGAAATCTTTAGATTCAGCACACATTTACTGATGCACTCCTCAGTCTTGGACCAGCTGCTCACCTTGTCCTTGGCTTCTCTGGTTGGCTCAGGCAGGCTGAGTAAACTAAGTGAACTATTTTGCCAGTCCCAGTCCCCAAAGAAGATCTCTGTGTCAGCTTCTGAGGAGCTCTCATCCTCATCACAAAGGTGTGCCTCTTCCTCCATGTTATCCAACTCTTCTTCCAGGGATGGCAGTTCATCTGCCTGGTTTGGTTTACCACCCTCAAGAGCTGAAGTACCACCTGGGCATTCTTCCTCTGTGTCATCTCCTACATTCAAGCAGCCTGAGTAGATTTCATTGATTTCGAAGCTGTGGAGGCTGTCCTGACTAGCACTGGGGCTCTTAGTTTCTGCCACAAATAGAGCAGGAGGAGAAGGAGCATCTGGATTCTGAGGCATCTGGGCCATCAGACTTGGATCTGGGGCCTGAGGAGCTAATGCTGCTTTTGCAGTGGGAGAAAAGTGACCCCTTGGTGAATGGGGCTGACTGCCTGATTCCTTTAGTTCTTTGATTTCCAAGTCTGCACTGGGCTTTGGATGTTCTGAAGTCAGTCCTAGATAGACCCTGACATCAGGATAGGGTTCACATCTCTACACCCTGGGGCTTTCCACTGGCTGAGTTCTCTGTGCTCCAATGTTCTCCTTTAGGTCATTCTTCAGAATATACTGGATATCTTGAAGATTCATGGTTCGGTCTTTCTGTTGGACTTGGATGCCTGACTGAACAACATCATAGTAAGGTTACCTGGCAGGGGAGATACCATGATCACGAAGGTGGTTTTCCCAGGGCGAGACTTATCCATTGCACTCCGGATGTGCTGACCCCTGTGATTTCCCCAAATGTGGGAAACTCGACTGCATAATTTGTGGTAGTGGGGGATTGTATTCGTGCTTTCCCCTGGCTTGATAGTAAGATAAAGATAGATTGTATTTACTGAGTTCATCTTATATTTCTTAAAGTATGTTTTTACAGAATTTTTCTTTAGTATTTTGGCACCAGGGACTAATTCTCAATCTCCTGCTGGTAAAGCATTTGATAGAACCTCTCCAGATGTCTCGGGCTATTTGTCTTTCAGTCCCTTGTCCTGTTTGGCTTGGTACTTTAAGAAATGACTCCTTGGAAGCTCAACTTCATGAGTATGTCAAACAAGGCAACTATGTGAAAGTAAAGAAAATTCTCAAGAAAGGAATTTATGTTGATGCAGTTAATTCCTTGGGGCAGACAGTGCTTTTTGTGGCCACATTATTGGGCCTTACAAAATTTGTTGATATTCTGGTGGATTATGGATCGGATCCAAATCACCACTGCTTTGATGGCAGCACCCCTGTCCATGCAGCAGCATTTTCAGGCAGTCAGTGGTTCCTCAGTAAACTACTGGATTCAGGGGGTGACCTGTGGCTTCATGATGAGTAGGGTTAAAATCCACAGACCTGGGCCTTGGCAGCAGGGAATGATTGCAGCACCCCAATGGTGGAGTTCATGCAGTGCTGCACCTCGCACATGCAGGCCATCATGCAGGGCTTCTCTTAGGACCTCCTGAAGAAGATAAACTCCCCTCAGTGGCTCATCTGCAGCCCACCCAGCCTTGTGAGCTTCCTGCAAGGAAGTCCTAATGGCTCTCCTAACTGACCTCTTAAATCTGGAGTCATTTCTACCCAAAATATCTACAGCTTTGGATTTGGGAAGTTTTATCTCACAGGAGGGACACAGGTTGCCTATCTAGGCTCTCTTCCAATAATTTGAGAAAAGGAAGTGATTCAAGCTGATGATGAGCCCACTTTCTCTTTCATCAGTGGGCCTCACATGGTCATGACCAACCTTGTGTGGAATGGGAGTAGAGTCACAGTGAAGAGCCTGAATCTCCCCACTCACAGCAGCAGGCAGAGGCTGGCTGACTTACTGATTGCTGAGCAGGAGCACAGCAGCAAGCTGTGGCATCCCCACCTCCTACAACTGATGGCTCTGTGCCTGTCCCAGGACCTAGAGAAGACCCTACTTGTGTATGAGCACATCACCATTGGCACACTATTCAGTGTCCTCCATGAATGATGGTCTGAGTTCCCTGTGCTGAACATGGAGGTGATGTTGCACTTACTGCTGCAGATCACTGATGCCCTGAGATACCTGCATTCCCGGGGGGTTGTCCACCGCTCCCTCAGCTCTTATGCTGTCCACATCATGTGTGCAGGGGAAGCAAGGCTGACCAACCTGGAGTACATGTTGGAAAGCCAGGGCAGTGGTAGACACAGGGACATGCATCAAGTTCCCCTCCCCACCAAGCTGTACAACTGGGCCGCACCGGAAGTGATAGCAGAAGTGATACAGAAGGTAGCCACGATGAAGTTGGACATTACAGCTTTTCCATGATCATACAAGAGATTTTAGCAGACAGTGTACCCTGGAATGACTTAGATGGCTCAGTTGTTAAAGAAGCCATCCTCTTAGGAAAGTATTTAGGTGCTGATGTCAGGCTTCCAGATAACCATTTTTGAAATGGGTCTTTGAACAGTTCTTTATATATTCTAGATAGTAGTCCTTTGTCTGAGGTACAGCTGCTAAATTTTTTTTCCCACATTGTAGGTTCTTTCTTAGCTCTGTTGGTGGTTTCTCTTGCAGTGCAGAAGCTTTTTAATAAGATGAGATCCCAGTTGTTGATTCTTTGTGCTAGTTC